GCCGCTTAAGACCGGAGCGGCATAGTCAATTTTTGATTGGATGAGTGTTTTGTATATGTTGAGTAGGGTTTGTTTGTCGGACCCCCATTTATTACCTTTGATAGCTCTCATTAAATTTAGATCTTTTTCGCAAGAATTGACCGTTTTCAGTACTTGGGGGCCCCATGTAAGGTGTTGGTCGAATGTGATACCTAGGAACTTGGCTTCTTTTTGATAGGAAATGTCTTGATTATTAAGGTGAAGTTTGGGTGTATAATTTTGCATATATTGTTTTTGAATAGCATGCCAATGGGTTTTTTGTGTTTATTTGGAAACCCCACTGGGAAGCCCATTTTTGAATGTTATCTAGGACAGATTGGATTCTTGTTTTTAATAAATTAATGGAGGCCGAGGAGCTCCAAAAAGAAACGTCATCTGCAAATTTGTCAGTTGTGATTTTTTCCGAGTATTTGACATCTGAGAAAATGTCGTTAATCATGAAATTGAATAAAGTTGGTGATATGATGCTTCCCTGAGGGGTGCCGTTTTCAATGGGGTGGGTGTCGGAGAGAGTTTGATGTGATTTTACAGTGATGTGTCTGTCTAATAGGAACGAGTGTATAAAGTTTAGTATTCTCCCATTGATTTGGCTATATTCAAGTTTGTTTAGAAGGCCAGTGTGCCAAACCATGTCGAAAGCTTTGCTGAAATCTATAAATATGGCCAGTGTGTATTGTTTCATTGACTGGGCTGTTCTAATGTCTTGTTCTAGATGTAGGATGTGGTCTAGTGTTTGTCTGTTATTTGTGAAGCCGCTCTGGTCTGGGCTTATAAGTCTATTGAAGGAGATGTGATGCTTTAATCTGTTATTTATAATGGATTCTAGGATTTTGCATATGTGGGATGTAAGGGATATGGGACGGAAGGAGTCGGGGTCGTTAGGGGGTTTGCCCGGCTTAAGGACTGGGATAACTTTGCGTGTTTCCATGTTTGGGGTGTGGTGCCTGAGGACCATATTTGGTTGTATAGCTGTAGTAGTAGTTGTTGTATATGTGGTGGTATTTTGTTGAGTATTATAGAGCTTATGTTGTCGATTCCTGTGGCTGAGGCTGTGTTTTTGTTGTGTAGTGCATGTAGAAGTTCGTGTATATTGATGGCTTTGTTGATGGGGAGATGTGCTAGGTCAGGGCGTTTGGTAAAAGGGGGGTGTTTTTTAATTTCTTGTTGAAATAGAGGGGGGTAGTTGGCCGTGCTACTAGTGTTAGCAAAATGGTTGGCTAGGTGGTTAGCTTTGTCTTTATTGGTTGGGCAGTTTTTGAAATTGGGTTGGGCGAATTTCCGGGAGTTACCTTTGATTGCCTTAAGCTTTTTCCAAATTTTTCCTGAGTTATTATCTCCAATTTTTAGGGAGTTACAGAAAAGTTGCCAGTGTTGTTTTCGGGCTGTTTTTATAAGTTGTTTGGTGTGGTTTCTTAGATAAATAAACTCAGGCTATACTTTCCTTCAGCAAGATAGAGCCAGACCCCCAAATAAACCAGGACCCCCTCATGGGGGCCTGGGCCTTTTCATTAAAAACACCATCCACTATGAAGAATTACCCATCCCTACTCCCAATCTAGAAGTCCTGGCGGCCAATATCACTATAAACGACACAAAAATTACTGTTATAAACTGTTACCACACTAAGACCAAGCCATTTAACCCAGAGGATTTAGAAATACTATCAAAATTCATAGGCCCAAACACCCTCATTCTAGGTGATTTCAATGCACACCACCCACTGTGGAGACCAAAAACTACTTAGACAAATTTGGAAAATTCCTACTAGAATGGTTAGACACCACAAATCTTATCTGCCTTAACGACAACCGAGCTACTAGATTTCCCACCAGCCACCTCCAATCCACCACAGCAGTTGACCTCTCCATTTCCACTCCCCATCTATTCCAAAAGCTCACCTGGGATCCTCATAGTGACACCTGGGGTAGCGATCACTACCCCATAAAAATCTCCCTCAATATTCTACCCAACCATCCCCCCTCTGATCCTAGCCCCCCAACAGACCACACCCAACAAACCAAATTTAACTTCACTAAAGCTGACTTGCAGGAATTCACCACACTATGCAACAAAATAGACACCCATAACATACACAATACTGACACCGACATATTCAACTCAAACATCAGTAATACACTATACAACATAGCCAGGAAATGCATACCCACCACCAAAACAAACCATACACACAACACAGTACCATGGTGGAGCCCTGAAATCATAGAATCTACAGAACTAAGAAAAAAAGCATTAAATAAGGCAAAACATGATATTACTAAACTCCATTTGGCTCACAAACAAAGAAATCTCACTAAGGAACTAATTAAGGCGGCCAAAAGAAATCACTGGCAAACATTTACATCAACCTTGAGGCTGGGCAAACAAAATTCAAAAATATTATGGAAAAAACTTAAAGCAATAAAAGGCAATGCCAAGACTTTTAATACGCCCAAATTTCCTTTGCTAAAAACAGATAAAAAAAAAGGCTAACGCCATGGCTGCCCACCTTTCGGTCGCTAGCAGCTCCACCAACCACTCAAACCACATACAAGATACCATAAATACTCAACCCACATACCAAAACAGAACCCCACACGCACACCTACCAATAAACAAACTCATTAACATACATGAACTACAAACTGCAATAAAAAACAAAAACACAGCCCCAGCCACTGGATTAGACAACATCAGTTACAAAATTCTCAATCATATCCCCATCAAAATTCAAAAACTATTACTACAACTATACAACCAAATTTGGACCTCTGGCTACCTCCCCAAAACATGGAAAAATGCACTGGTGGTGCCAGTTCTGAAACCAGGGAAACCCCCAAATGACCCAGACTCTTATCGCCCCATCTCACTTATTTATGTAAAATCATGGAATCAATAATTAATAACAGACTAAAGCATAAAATCCAAAACAATAGCCTTATTTAAGAGGACCAGAGCGGCTTCACAGCAAATAGACAGACTTTAGACCATATTTTAAATCTAGAACATGATGTTAAGACAGCCCAAATACAAAAACAATACACTGTGGCCATTTTTATTGATTTTTCTAAAGCATTTGACATGGTTTGGCAACAAGGCCTAATTCAAAAATTACTAGACAAAGCCATTGATGGAAGAACTTTAAATTTCATTCACTCTTTCTTAAATAACAGAAACATAACAGTAAAATCAAACAACACACTATCAGAACCCCACCAACTAGAAAATGGCACCCCCCAGGGAAGCATCCTGTCCCCCACGTTATTTAACCTTATGATTGATGACATTTTCCCAAATCTCCCTAAAAACATAACTACAGCAAAATTCGCTGACGATATCTCATTCTGGACGTCATCAACATCAATAAAACAAATTGAAAAAAGAAATTAAACCAATCCTTTCGGACCTAGAACACTGGGCTTCCCAATGGGGGTTCAAAATTAATACCAAAAAAAACATCAGCATAGTATTCAAAAAACCCTTCATGCCAAATTTATCACCCAAACTCACACTTAATAAAGAAATTTAAAAAAAATGCAAAATTTCTAGGAGTCACATTTGACCAACACCTCACATGGGCTCCCCACATTAATAACGTGGTCAATTCCTGTCAAAAAGACATCAACCTAATGAGAGCCATCAGCGGCTCTCACTGGGGAGCTGACAAACAAATACTCATAAATATATACAAAACACTTATTCATGCCAAAATAGACTATGCCGCTCCGGTCTTCCATTCCTTAACAGAAAACCTGGAAAAAAAGCTTAATTCAATCAAATATAAAGCCCTCAAGATAGCCCTGGGGACCAGAAATGGCACCTCCCTTAACACACTACAAATCCTCACAGGCATCACATCAATACAACTTAAATGTCACCAATCAATACTTAACTACTGGGCTTGGGGCCCAACAAAACCCCATTTACAAAGAAATAACACTGAAATACCAAAACTCTAGACCTGCCACCATCCAAAAATTCAAAAACAACAAAAACAAAGCCCCCTTCATTACCCACATTCACAACCTCATCAAAACCTACAAACTAGAACATATAACTCCTCCCCCCCCCCCCCCCCCCCCCAACCAATTCATACATCCTTAACCATAACATTCAGAAAACACAACAAATTCACAAATATAGAAAAAGGCACAATATCACTAAACTACATCCAAGATAACTGTCCGGAACACACACATATCTACACAGATGCATCATATAATACAAAACAAAACAAAACAGGGCTGTGTATCCATACAACACAGCCTACACCAATCACCAAAAAGGAGCCCAACAAAACCCCATTTACAAAGAAATAACACTGAAATACCAAAACTCTAGACCTGCCACCATCCAAAAATTCAAAAACAACAAAAACAAAGCCCCCTTCATTACCCACATTCACAACCTCATCAAAACCTAAAAATCTTCCTGAGTTATTATCTCCAATTTTTAGGGAGTTACAGAAAAGTTGCCAGTGTTGTTTTCGGGCTGTTTTTATAAGTTGTTTGGTGTGGTTTCTTAGATAAATAAACTCTGGAATCTTTGACTTGTTTCTTTTACTTTTATTTAGGGCTCTTTTTCTTAGATTTCTGGCTGTTTTGATTTCGTCATTCCACCAGGGGACGGGGTTGTGGGATGGGGTTGGCCTGGATGTGGGGATGCATTGTTTGGCGATGTCGAATAATGTGTTGGTGAGGTTAGTGTTGAAGGTGTCGATGTTACTGTTGTGTATTTGTTTGGGGTCAGTTTGATTGCAGAGTTTTGTGAAAAGTTGCCAGTTAGCTTTGTGAAACGGGAGGCAGGTTCGGGTGAGGGGAGTTCTCTCCTCTTCCTTTTCTTTCTCCCCTGTCCACTGCCCTCGGGTGAGCGGAAGGGCTCCTCCCCTCTGGAGTCGAGGGGAACGAGGTCCAACGCAGCTACCGGGGGCGGTGGGGTGGTAGGGAGGGAAGTCTCTATCTCCATGTCGAGGACTGGAGGAGGGATCTTCTTTACCCGGGGGGGCCCCTTTTTCTTCTGCGCCGGGCGGGGAGCAGGAGGTTTAGGGGCTGGGGCTCGGGCCATCTGAGGCTTGGTCTTAGCCGGGGCTTTGACCAGAGGTCTCTTCCTTTGACCAAGGTCGAAGGAGATGGAGAGCGTGGAGGAGTTGGACTTGTAGGAAGTCCTGAGGGAGTAGTCCCCAACCCGGTAGGCCAGCAAGGGCTCCAGGATGGAGACAAGCTCCCTCGGCAAAGACATTGAGAGGTCTCTCATTGTCAGCTTTGGTAGTTTTGAGAGCTTGGGAGGACGTGTGCGCGGGGCGAGAGTCCAAGCCAAGATGACTATGACCCCCGCGCTCCAAATAGCCCAGCGCGGATTGTCCCCTACGACGTCCGCGCCCCAAACTCTGCCATATCCATACTCACTAATAATATAGCCGTTTAACCAGCCACCCGCCCAATGTCAAGGACACACTTACCGGCACACAGCCTTTACCAACCCACCCCCCGCGTAAGGCCCCTGTTTATTAGCATAGGTTACCCACTCCTATCCACTTTTCCTTTTTTTTTTCCCACCTAATATTTTATTTATCTTATTATATACTTAAACATCAGCTCAACTGATCTCTATTTTCTTTCTATCTCTCCTACCTTATGTATACTCCCCTAGACCCTGGTTAACGTAGGACTTCTACAATCTCGTTATGGCATCTCTCTGCCTCTTCAACCCAATCCCGTCTTCTCTCCTACTTTATCCCCCTTCACTTACAGTTTTTTGGGCTAGACGTTTATCATTATTCCCACTATTTATGGTTTCATAAGACCCGTCTGCCCCGAGTGCGAAATAGCCAGAGGTTGAAGCGCTCGTAAAATCTCCCAACTATTGCATTGCATCCATCACTGCTCCTGATGGTTCTAGCTTGTGGCTGGATGGTGTTTTCCCCATTGCTTTAATTGTGTTCTGAATGGTATGACTTCTCTTGAAAACTACATCAATGTTGGCCTGTTTCTTTAAGAGTCTCTGGATTTTGTGGCTAACTGTTCCAACTTACGGGAGGCTGATCAGAAAGGATGCAGACTGTTGACGTGGGGATTTCTGAGATTTCTTGGTGATGTTCTGTATCGTTTGTTGTACTAGTTGCTCAGGATAGAGGTTATACTGTGCAAAAACTTGTTTGAGGTGGCTTAGTTCAGTAGTTAGATGTTGCTTCGTGGAACAGATGTTATGAACTCGTCTTGCTAAAGTTGAAACAATTCCTTTCTTGACTTGAGGTGGATGGTTGGAGGCATAGTGTATGTATTGATCTGTATGGGTAGGTTTCCGATAAACAGTGGTCTGGAGTTTGTCGTTATTACCTTTCTGTACGAGTACATCAAGGAAGGGGAGCTGTCGATTGGTTTCTTCCTTCATGGTGTACTGTATTCGTGGGTTTTGGGAATTCAGGTGGTCCAATAGAGTTCTGGGGTCATATTTGGGATGTAGGATGACAAAGGTGTCATCAACTCTGCGGAACTAGCAGAGAGGAGTTATTTGGGATGTTTCCAGGGCTTTTCCTCCAGGTGGGTCATAAATATCTCAGTGATCAAGGGTGATACTGTGGATCCCGTTGGGAGGCTGTAGGTTTGTTAATAGGAGTTATCTCTCCAGGTGAAGTACTTTTTGACTTGGCCATTTTACAAACCTCAGATACAGCAAGATAATAAACAGGTTAAACATATACAAAAGTACACAGACAGAGACTACTATATTTTCAGTAGGAAACAATACCTTCCTTCATATTAAAGTAAAAATATCTGTTTAAATATGTATCTCATAATATTCACCAAATCTTACACGCCACTAGATCTGCATTTCCATCAATGATACAGAAAAATAGCAAGAGGGTTTTGCGTTGTTTCATTTGACATTAAGAAAAACCCGTATTTCTGAATTAGTTAAAGGGTGAATACTAGTATTCAAGATTAGAAGATGGCAAGGTTTGGTGAACGATAACAATGTTGAATTGAATACCCTTATCTGCTCTTTTCAAAGACAATAGACCTGTAGGCCCCAGATGTTATTTTCTCCTACAACTCTACCGCTCAGCTCGTGCAAATAAAGGGCAGATAAGTATGGTTCTAATGAAGTCTATAGGTAGAGCCAGTCGAAACACTACTGTAAGAGCACGCTCAACGTTTTCACGATATCAAATAACGTTGACTAATATTATTACACAGTGATTCATCGACATTTGTTGAAATTTACTGTCAGGTGCAACAATTAGTTGTTTTGTTGTCATTTAGATTCACGGCAGAGTTTTATAAATGTCACCTGCGTAACCTCGTACGACATCAGTGTCGTTCAAACGACCTCTACTCAAAAACAGCTGACGATCTGCCGGCTACAGATTTACATGTAGCCCTATCTTCCGTGTCACAAAGCAGTTTTACGGTTTTCCTTTTTCAGGAATAAACGTGCTCCATAAGGCTGCACCTTCAATCACAATGTCGCCGTTAGTGAGAGAATAATTGCGATCATGCTTCTAACTTCGATGTCAAGGTCAAGATCAATCCTGTAGTGCATCGGTTTCTCTCTTTTGCGTTGTTTTTGAAAACTTCCTTTTACTGGTTGATTTAATATTACTATTTTTGACTTATACCAACAACCTTTATTTTCGACATCAAATAACATTAACACCTCTAATCACATAATGGCCCTATAGACATGTGCCATGAAAGAATGGAAAGAACATAATATCAAAAAAATAATAGTACATGGAAGCGTGAAAGTATGTTGTACTAGACACAAGCAAAATTATTCAGATTATCTTTATAGGGCTTGAACTTTCACATAAGGATTCGAAACAAACATATTCATAAAAAGCAACTTGGAACACTTGTAGGTCAGCGTTCTCAAATAGTTATCAGTCACAATGAGTGACATGTGCGACGTAGAAGAGACATTAATGAGGGCTTCATCGTGACAACCGCGGCAGCTTTCTCACATACTCCCACTCCGTGTCCAAGTAGAAACAGCTTCGCCCTGCGTGCTCTCTCGGAATATAATACCAGGTAAGGAAAGTAATTGAATTAAATATATCATAGTATGACAAGAAATGGAATTACACCAGGGCTATTGAACGACTGTTTACCTTTGTTAATATGTTGAAACTGACTAAGCGCCGCATTCGAAAGAAAATGAACAGAACTTCAACTCACTTGAGACATTAAATGTGGCTGTGAATTTTATGAGCCCAAAACATTTGCGAAGATCACATGTCTGGGTAAGTATCATAAAATTTAGCTAGCAAGACAATGTGGAGACACGATTAGCCTCAAGCTGTAACCAGTTGTATGCGTGACCCGCATAATGCAAAATATACTCTAGTGTATGCACTTCATGCAAACAATACAAGGCTGTTAAGCTTGACTAAATAGGACAAAGTACTTGAATTTATCGTCTTTAAAGACTCCTTCCTGAGAGTATAAACACCATATCACTATGTTCCTCCTATTATTAGCTCAACCGTTTGTAGACGTGAGTATGAAGTGCTATTTCACTACTTACTTGACATTTAAAGAAGGCCATAAATTATTTTAAAAGAAGAAGAAATTGACATCACAAAATCGCTTTTGTGATATCTTAGAATAGATAACAAGATCATTATATGTTTATCAATTCAAAATTAATAACGTTAGCAAATATAATTTGGATTTGGATATTTTTTTAACAAATAATAAGCCCCGTTTCGTCGTATTGTACTATTATAAACATGATAACCATTGCAGATCAAGGTCGTGATGATGATGCTTTTTCAAACACTGATGCTTGCGCTGTATGCTGGTCCAGTGCTAGTGACAGCAGTTGTCACAGAAGCAAGCGACGGTGAGAAAATGAAGAAATTAAATACATTAATGTGATTAAATCTTGATGAATATTGATTTTTTTATAATGGAGGAAGTCTTTCCAAATATATCCGCGGGACTAAAAAACACACGACATAATAACTAAATGCATAATAATACATAGTCCAATGGTTATACCAAACTAATGTGGACAAGGGATTATATATTCATATCATAGCAAGTATCTAAAGTATCTTATAAAGGAGTTGATGAGGAATCATTAAATATATTTTTTACCTTATTTCAGCATATGACTTCCCCCATTTGGTTGTTTGAGCTATAGTATTTTAAAAAGCATTGTAGAATGTGACCATTTGGAATCCCAAAATTGCTTTTAAATATGAGTTACAAATTGCATAACCTAGTTGCATATGGAGTATGTGGGAGACGTTGTATTCAGTAGATATGTGTATATTATCAAATACCGGAAGCGTTTAATTAGGAGATAAAGATATTGTGCTCTCTGCGCGTTCGATTCCAAATTCAATTTAGCGCGGTTAAATCTACAGGTAACCCAGCTCTACATTGAAAACACAGTTTTGTTATCTCAATTCTACCATGGCTAAACAAAACGCGATCTGACTTACGGAATCACCGACTACATCCTTTAAACAAAATATGGCGCTCTTTATGTTCAAGCAGTTTGTTAACACCGATATACTTCACTCGATCATATGACATGCCTTGAAAGCAAATGAGCACTGACCCTTCGTAATTTAACATGAGGTGGGCACCTCTATAGCTAAACTTTGTATACAAGCCGCCGTGGAGAGAGGACGTGTTTTTTTAGAGCTCTTACCTGCACACCCTAGATGGTTATGTACTGCCCAAGCCAAAGGGTAAAGGCAATAAACGCAAGAAGAGCGACAATAGCCCAACTTCTACGGAGGATAATGTGAAAAAGAGATACGAAAAGGAGATTTTACCCTTGGACGCAATATACGATATGGCGATGAACCACGGTGCCTCTACACCTGGTCAACAATATGTGTATACTCAGGGATATGGCCAGTTCACTCTTACGCCAATAACCTCTTTTATTACCCACGTGGTGAAGAAACAGGTGGTAAGATACTAAATCCGTACGTCACACGTGTGTCGTACAAGGTTGACCTTGTTTTATTCGTTTTGATTGGATAACCGTGACCTCTGTCACCACTCTCCTACCCAGAGTTCCATGCGGCCGGCAGCCAGCTAGCATAGTACCTCTGCCACAGGCCAGCGCCATGTGACGATTCGTCACATCTTTCACAGTCCAGTCAAGATATTGCATATGCTTTTCATCCGTTTCATGTTTGACAAGTCTACACATTTTCATAAACAAATGCCAAAGAATGGTTAACTTTCATTGAGAAAGTATGCAAATACGTAAAAATCTACTTGTTTTTGCGTAGTTATCCTATGTTTACATTGGATGTACGGCTCCACGTGCTGTCATCGAAGCGCAACGGAGAGCTAGCGACACGGTCACTTTGATGCATAAATATATATTGTCATGCAACTCACTGTCGCAGTTGTAGTAGCATATCTATATAGTTATGCAAAACAATATGTAAAGCGCCCCCAAATACTTACATTAGTCCGTTCTATACTGATTTCTGAAAAAAGCGCGTTTGTTTACAAACAAGAGAAAAGTCCGGTCACGTGATATGCAAATTAGCCTGTGGCAGTGGTGTTATGCTGAGTCACCACTGCGACGGAGTGTGCTCTGTCACACCCGGACTACTTTTTTCATTCATAAAAAAATCGCGAGACGTCATTCATTTTGCGATTACAAGGCAGAACTGAAGAAATTCATGAGAACGAGAGATATTTACAAACACTTTATTAAACCAAACAAGTTAGTCACACGCATCAAATTCGGTTTGCATTCTATATAAGTTATGCATAGAGGTCCTACAGACATATAATCGAGCTAGGTCTATAAATCGATTAACAATGTACGACTGCCGATCGAGCGCGTCCCTTGAGCGTGACGTCGACGCACCCAACTTTCAATTTGATTTAACGTAAAAGGATAGGCGTGGTGAAATGAAGTCTGTTTAAACTATCTGGACAGATATCTAGACTTACTTGGGGTGATCCGGTTGTGCCATCGGTGTCCCCCTTGAAGCGTATTTTGTGGCGCTGTTTCGGGAGGTGTTGTTCATGAATGAACGAACACGACAGCACGACCAGATCACTTAAAGTTCACAGTTCCGATACAAATCATTCGAAAACTCCGTGGAAGTGTGCTTGACTTCTGATTTTGTGGCCCCAAACATCCCAAATGTGAACAGAAACATTCCCTATCTCTAGCGTAAAACGCTGTGAGTGGATCGCGGTTGTCTTTTCTTATTCTGGTGGCGACCTTGCCCTTCGATTGTTCGAAGCTGTCACTGACATGCAAGCAGATTTGAGTTTGTTGATTTTCACGTCTTCAGTATATAGGGTGGTACAGTTAACATGAATGTCTTTGGCGAACAGTCTGATTTCCCTCTTCCAAAATGGTACGGACATGATATAAATTCAGCTGATAGATCAAGGAAACCGAACCATTTTGATTGCACAGACGGGACCCCGGCAGTGTGATGTGTTTCGCTCGGTCAGATACCATAGAAAGTCCACTCGTTTCGTAAAAATGGTATCTAACGAGAATGAGTGTAGTATTCTCTATATACACCACAGGGACCGACAGCTCAAGTGGTTAACTCTCCACCCTCCGTCCGTCCATCTTGGGGAGACGAGATATTTAGCGACTTCGGAGTTATGGACGAGAGATTCAGCAAACTGGAGGCAAAATTGGAAGCAAACCTGACAAAACTGACCGCAAGGATGGTCAATATTGAAGATGAAGTGAAAGTGCTCAGGGAAACCAACGGAAAAATCGAGGAGGCTGCAAGTATCCAGGAGCAGCAATTCAGCGATGTAAATCAAAAGCTGGACCAGCATTCACACAATGAAAAGACAGATAGCTGACCTCAAAAGTAAAGGTACGAATTATCAGGTGGACGACCTCATGGAAAGGGTGCTCGATGTACAGTCCAGGGTCCACTTGCACAAAGCGATCTTAGCGCTACAATTATTGTAAATCCTTAAGATCGCGATCTTAGGCTTACGCTACAATTGTCATCCACTTGCACAAAGCGATTGTAGGTTAAGATCATTGTAAGCTACAATCGAAACTTACAATTGGTCCAGACCAATCTTAAGTAGCTAAGATCGTTGTAGTCCCTGACAAAATGGCGTGCAAGACAGGGCCAGTTTCACATTAATAATCTGCTTTACGATCAAACACTGCCTATTTATTTCGTTAGATTTTATGATTCGAATCGACACTTCAACAACACGAAGACCGCACCACAGATTTAACGTCAAAAATATCGTTAATTGCGATAGTGAACCACATAACTATCGAGTCGATAGTTAAAAGTACTATTCCCACCCGTGTCAATGCTGAAAGAAGTCTAAAACAACATACCTTATCAAGGGAAGGATAAAACCTAAGTCGTCTGCAAGCGATTTGTAACGTCCGTGACCTTTAAGATAAATCAAGGGCAGCTAATCATAGTTTATATTCTAGATGGGAGTGGTTTCCCTTTGTATAAGTATCGTAGAATCTTCCTTGCCCAGTTAGTGTATTAATGTTGTAGAATCGCCGAGCTCCCCTTGTATATCTTTTGGGTCACATTCGTGTCAGTTATTTTGTCTTTAGTTTATCATTAAATAATCTACAAGTAAACACAAGTTGAAGTGCAAAATCATACGTTTATATCCAAAATCGAGTGGGACAGTCACGAGCGGTTGTAATATCTGAATTTATAAGAAACTAATACAAATATTCATCAAACAAGCAAATACACATGATGAGACATTTGAAATTTGTGTAAAATATCCCATAAATAGCAAAAGTAAAATTCACACTTTTTAAAAAATATAATTAATACCAAATGAATATATATTAAACAACTTCTTTCTTGAAACATTATTCTTATTTCCCGTACATGCATTCTTGAAATCTCCCGTCTTACTGTGTTTTGAAAAGGTTGTCATAACATCCTTTGTAATAGCGGCAAAACTAAAACATGAAGGATATACATGTATTTAGGATTTTACGGAAAGCTCCCCCAAATAGATGACGATCATACATTTACCTGTTATGTTATTTGGACATAGAGATCTATTATTATTTTCTTTTTTTACTTTCATAATAAGAATGTCACTAAATCTATATGCCAACATTCTAATTATAGTTTCCTTCAAATAGTTGAGACCTTTCAACTGTGCAAGGTGCGTGGAGGGAGGTACGTGTTGTATGTCGTAACCGGTTCTACACGTTGTATGCGCAGCAAGATTTGCGCGTTTGCAGACAACCATAGACAGGAGTCTAGTTTAAGATATTTGTACCTCCACCATTGAAGATTTCAATCTTAGTTAAGATCGCGATCTTAAATCCAAGCCGTCTTACAATCGCGTTAAGATCGGTTTGTGCAAGTGGAATAGGACAATTGTAGGGTGATTATAAAGTTGATTGTAGCCGCCTAAGATCGATTGTAACTAAGATTGTTCTGTGCAAGTGGGCCCAGGTCCATGCGTGATAACCTTGTGTTTGTTGGCCTTAAAGAGGAGAAGGATGAGGATACTGAGACCCTGCTGAAGTCGTTTATCCACGAGAAGCTTGGAATTACAAAGGAAATAGAATTTGTGAGAGTTCACGGGATGGGTGCACCCCGCACTGACAGCAGATCAGCGAGAACGAGACCAATCGTGGCCAAATTCCAGCTCTACAAGGACAGGGAAACTGTGAGACAATCCTCATATGATAAACTAAAAGGGACGAGCTATTACATCAATGAACAGTTTCCGGAGGAGATAGAACAGCGACGGAAACTACTGTACCCAGTGCGTGGAACCGCCTATCATGCTGGTGACAGGACAGCGCTCACAGTTGATAAACTTTATATCAACAATCAGCTATACGTGCCTGGAAAACCTGTACAC